TGTTTTTGACATGATACTCACCATGACAGGATTATAATCATGACCAAGTCCTGCCAAAATATGCATGATTTATTCTTCTTTAGTGATTTTCTGGCCTGCTGCAGCTAGTATGTCACAGCAAGATTTGACTTGATTGAGGTAGTCCCTCATGTTGGATCCTCCTTTCTTGATAGTCTGCAATTTCAATTTGTATTGCAGAACTTTTGCTTTGGATTGACTTGCAAATCCAATTTTAAGACTGTCCCAGATTTGCTTAGAAGTTGTTAGTCCCACTGTTGTCACCAAAATTGGTTCTGTGAGAGAGGATAAGAGCCAAGAGGCTAGGATTTGATCCTGCCTTACCCACAATGAATATTCTGGGTTTTGAAAGGGCTCATTTGATCCTTCTTGCAAAATTTTTTGTGGGATCTTCTGATCTGGTGAGATGTACTGATAAAGACCATAGCTTTTAATAGCAGCAAGAGTTTGTTGACTCCAAACTAAGTAGTTTGTTTCAGTGAGTTTTGAAGATATCAGCTGGCTTTGAGGAAATACAAGTTGATTTTGGTCTGCATTTCCCGGTGTTAAGGAAGAAGAATGTGTTGAGGATGAAGAAGCCATTGTAAAAGGGAAAGATAGAATAATGAAGAGAAATTAAGAGAAAGAAAAATGAAAATTAGTACAAAGCAACCAAGATCATCCTGGTGCTCTGATACCATAAAAGATTTCTTGTGGGAACATAATGCAAAAATATTTGATCAAGAACAGAGAAATTAAAACTCGGAATTTTTATGCATTAAACATATATTCTGATTACACTCTCACATCAACACAATAACACATATTTATACATAAACTACAATATGGCAGTTATGGCAGTAATGGCCGTTTCTTTTCATCTCCATATTGCATGTTGCCATGCAGCACGTTCTCATCGTGCTTAACTTCCATAAGATCATGCTGAGGTGAATTTCTTGTCTTGCACTTAATCCCATTGTGACTGACACGTGCATGTTGATTTCCTTTCCCCGGCGGGGGATGCTCTAATCAGTGCAGACCAACCGAGCCTTTAGCTGCTACAGTTGCAAGAAAATCCGCCACAAAGTTGGTTTCACAATAACCGTGATCGATCTCCACCTTCCATAGACGAACCAACAACTCTGTAATGCCTCTAATAATACTCCCATGCGGCTCATTGGTATCCTCGCGGTGGACCATCTCGATAATCCCCTTGTTGTCGACCTCCACTATTATCGTACGGGCCCCTATATCCCATGCTAGCTGCAGACCCTAGAACAACCCCCATAATTCTGCCCCGACAATGGAGCATATTCTTATGTTCATCATGAACCCACTGACCCAACCCCCAAGGTGATCCCGGATGACCCCCCCCCTGCACTAGCCATCCCCGTCGACGGGTTAAAACTACCATATGTGTTCACCTTTAACACTCCCTCTGGCGGAGAAGCCCAAGACAACCAACGCGTTTCGCGCATGGCACTAGCACCAATCCGGTGGCTATCCATCAAAGCACCTCGAACTCTACCTGTATAAGCTCTAACCTCTCAAACTTGTTGGTCCAAAGTCGTGCTAGCCCCTTCAAACACCTTGAGGTTTCGCCAACTCCACAAACGCCAGACGGTCACACCAAAAAGAGTATCCCACTCGTCTATTTCAGAGATAAAACACCCCATTAAATTCTGCGAAAGCCAACTCCGAAGATCCAGGGAAAAAATCCCAGCCATTTATCGCGCGGGACCAATCTTTGCCACGTCGCCCTTGCCATGTTGCAATCACGGAGCACATGCAACGTGGTCTCGATATCCTCTGTACATACCGGGCAAGCTGAGCTAAGCGCCATATGTCGGCGTTGTCTCGTTTCATTCGTCAGAAGACTCTCCCGGGCGGCTGGCAATAGGAAGAGCCTAACTCGGATCTGCTGAACTGGCTTGGGAATCCTTTCTCAGCAAGCTATTGTATTCCAGCATGTCCTCTGCACAAGTCTCTGCTATTTGCAGGATACGCTCGACCATGAATACTTATGTGTCTGAGCATCACATAATTCAATGCTATACTATAAGCTCAATGTTGAAGATATCATTTATAGAATTTATATATAAAAAAAAAACCTGCTATTTAACATATTCAAACAAGTACAGACTATATAAATTGCCTTTCCCCCAAGGCAACCGTAATCAGCTGGAACTTGAACATTAACAGCCAATTGAATCCTACTACATTTATCCAAAATTAAGAAACAAAATTACAACTATTGAAATCTCAAATTCAAAGGCAAGGATAGTAGATTGGGATAAAAATCGTCACCCAAGCTGCATTTTATTGATGCCTGAAACGCCACCTAGTAAAATCAGGAACTCAACCATAGTTAAAATATACTGGAAAATCGAAGACTAACCAATTTCAGTAACTTCTTTACAGTGAATTCCAACCCAAAGGATTCATCCAAATCCGAGCAAGAAGTGGTGACGCATATAGAAGATTCTATTCATGCAAGATATCCCACGTTGTATGTGCTCCTAAACAAAGTGAAATTGTTAGAACTCATCGATCCATAAATAGTTCAGCTCCAGAAACCAATACCTCCAACAACATTAAGATTATATTATATGGTTGTATTTGGACAGATTGATTCAGACTCTGGAGAGGATTTCAGGGGATAATTTGAAATGAGTCTAAATGTCTCAAAAAATGGGTATCGATGATTTGATATTCATTATAAAACGACACCATCCAAACAACCTCAACGAGTTTATGATTGCAGATTTGAAATTCACAAGTTCAAAACCATCAACCCAAATCACCTCAGCAACTATTGATTACCTAAATCCTTCTATGAATAGAAGATACTAATTACTTTTCCATTCCATTTTCTTTCGAACATTCATAATCCAACCATATATCAAACTTGAGCATAAACTTCAACCAATCGACTCATATGCCACACAACAAATGAACATACGAAGAACAAAATATTGATTTTACTATTAATCACGCGATCTCCATTCTCAGTCTCGTTCTGCTCATTCCTCGCCCAAGCAAGCGTCAAAATCTCCACCGACTCATTTGAACCTAACAAATCTACATTCTGCTCATTCCTCGCCCAAGCAAGCGTCAAAATCTCCACCGGCTCATTTGAACCTAACAAATCTACACAACAGAATGTAAGATTAGAGAATCAGGGCAAGAGAGTACGGTCCTACAAGATTAAGCGCACCATAAGAGGGTGAGCCTAGATGCACCTTAGTGAGATTCCATCTCAAAACCAATTGGTGATAGGAGGAGTAGCCCATTTGGCTTATATACTAGGCTCATTTTCTCTATAGAATCAATGTAGGACAACTCACAAGTGATACTCCAACACGCCCCCTCACTTGTGAGTCCTTCGTAAGCTCAAGCCCAGAGCAGGCCTGGTAAAGATAAAGACTCTGGCCGGAGTCGGCCGAGTAGAGATAGAAACCCAGACAGGAGTCGGCTTGACTCTGATGCCATTAAGATTAGAGAATAGAGGCAAGAGAGTGCTATCCCACCAGATTAAGCGCACCATAAGAGGGTGAGCCTAGATGCACATTAGTGAAGTTTCATCCCAAAACCAATTGGTGATAGGAGGAGTAGCCCACTTGACTTATATACTAGGCTCATTTTTTCCTATAAAATTAATGTATGACAACTTACAAGTGATACTCCAACACAGAAGAATGTTAAACAATGAAAACATTAATAATCTCCGCCAGCAAAATCATCGTGAAAAACTATACGGCTGAAGTTTACGCTCGCCGCCAGTGTACACAGATGAATACAGAGAAGTTAGCGTTACCTTGAGCTAGCTTGACATGAGTCATGAGCTATGGGGGATAGAGACGAGAGAGACGCGTAGCCTGCTTACATCAATTTTCCTCTGGGTGAAAGGTGAAATCGGTAGAGACGATATCTCCATTTTCACACAATCAATGCGCGTACTGTGTGAGTGTCCGAGTTTGCGATTATTCTTTGGAGCTTTCGCGCCCTCTGTGTGTGTGTGTGTGTGTGTGTGTGTGTATGTGTGTGATTAATCAATTTTTGAGGTAGCGTGTGTATATTTTTGGTTTGTAATTGAATGGGCCTCGTGTAGATGTTACAAAAGGGCCCATATGATAGGGTCCAAGATTGTGCACTTGTATATTTTATTCGAGTGACATTTTTCTTATTAGTAACATAAGAAATGAACTATACTAGTTAATGTAACATAAATTAATTTAACATGGAGTATAATACCTATCATGATGTAAAATAAAAATAGTAAAATAATAATTTATAATTAAAAATATTAGAGGATAATAATTGATAATTATGAATACAGTAGAGAAATAGTAAGATGATGATTGATAATTATAAATTTGTGAGATGATTTCATAAATAAATGTGTAATGATGATTGGTTTTTACTATGAAAGTTGTATTGAAAAATATGAGATGAAAATAGATAGAAAAAAAAAAAAANNNAAAAAAAAAAAAGATGGACAAATAGTGCATTTTCTATAAACGTGATAATGAGTTATATAATATATATCCAATTGCACCCATACTTTTTAGAACAAAAAAAATTGTGATAACGAATTTTAGATTCTAAGTTGTTTTTATTTCATTTTGAGGGCTTTTCTATCATGTATTTTGTCATTTAGTGTGATTCAAAATCTCATATTATCATTTTATACCCCATTTATCCTTGAGGCATTTTTTTTTTTTAGAAAAAATATGTTGTGCACAAGAAAAGTACAAAGAGAAGGTAAAATGACCCGAGGTGTGAAAAAATCATCTATGAGGGAGAATGTAAACATACAACACATTACACCCCAAAACCAAAAACAAAACAAAAAAACCAAAACCAAACAATAATGAGTTGATTTAATTTATAAACTTAGTTCTCTTTCTTTCTTTGTTTTGATCTAAATGTTAAAGAATATTAGGGTAAACGAATGACCGAACAGAAGATCAAAACCTAGCAAAAGCTTTGAGCTTCGAAGACTATGATAATGGTTGCTGTTGAGGTGATGCTTGGATTATAGAGGTTAGTGATGGATGAACTCGGGCCATCTTCAATGACCGGGCCTCACTCCTTCCTTGTGCGTACTCCTCGCCCAAAGGCCACCTCGGCCGCAGATCAAGCTGTTTCATTCACTCAAACTATTCAGGGAGAGAGAGAGAGAGAGAGAGAGAGAGAGAGAGAGAGAGAGAGAGAGAGAACAATAGCACCTAATGTAGTAATCAAGAATAAATCTGAAACTACAGACATGCTTCGATTAGATATGCACTAACATTTTTCATCTGTTGTTGCATCTGACAGTTTAAAAAGCAGTCTCTTTTGTACGCAAAAGCAACCTTTTGAGAGTTAATTTTCCAACAATAATGAAGAGAGAAAAAGAGACAAACCCAAGCATCTTCAGGTTCGCAGGCGGGTGGCGGTGGATCGTATCTTCCCATACGGAAATGCTCGATTCCAGTCCAAGCAATCATTACACCTTTCGTGAAAAGTTAAAACAAAGGCATAAAAACTGTTAAAAATGGGACTTCAGGATCAGTTTGCTTTGGAGAAGACGAGACTTGCGTTTCCAAATAAATTGTTGACCAAAAATTTAAAAACAAAAAAAAAAGAAGAAGAAGAAGAAGCATTATGTTAACCATTGTCGGTACAAAGGCTTGGAGGAGGACAAACGAGCTGCAGGCCTTTCTTTTCGACTATCTTATCTAGCCGAGACCTCACGTACTGATTAGATGCAACACCTCCAGAGGCCACCTGTCCAAAATAAATGTAGCATTGGTGATCAGCAGATTTTTCATGCATGATATTTGGGGAGAGATAAAATAAATAACGAATAACAATTAACACCAACCAAATACTTTATAGAAGGCTCCATATCCAACGCCCATTCAATTGCTCGTTCACATTTGTCCTCTAGATGCAACACTGCAATTCTCTATTAACCATATGATTTTTGTGAATCTTTCTAAGGAAATAATAAGAATGGCACTGGGTGGGTTTACTCTAATCATCCTCAAGTAGCCCATAAATCGGAATTCAAGGTAATATAAGGGGGTGTTTTTTATATAGTAAGGTAGTATTTGCAACTTTAGAATAATGATTTTCCTTTTAAGTTTAGCCTCAAGGGTCATTTTCGCAACTATCCCAAGAATAATTATTACCTGGAAAGAGGCAGCAATATCAGCCCGAGCCTTTCTGTCTTCACTATTAGCCGAAGCAATGGGAACTGAAGCATCACTGCATGCCAACAAAGAAATATTAAGCTTTCATGAGTATCAATATAAACGAATATGTGTTATTCAAATGTAAATTCATACTACAATAAGTTTTTACAGTGATCTATACGGCTTAGCAGCAAAACAATAAATGCCTGACAAATATTTTACATGTTTTTGGATTCGATAGCCAGCCTCACTTGAGTTTTGAGGCCTGCGTACGAGAAGTTGCAGTCTTTATGCTGTTTCATGGGAACCTATGGGATATCACAACATCAAACATTGCTGAAAAAAACAAAGAAAGAAAGAACAAGTTTAAACCCAAAGGGGAAAAAAAAAAATAATAATAATAATAATTACAAACACTATCTTTGAAAATTGGCCTAATTATAAAAAGAGGAAAAATATAAATATGAATTCAAAAATGCCGTTTTGAGTTTGTATTTGGGATATTTTTGCCCTTGGAGCAAAAACTCAAAGCGCACAGCTCGTAATCAAATCCAACTCCAAATGATAGTAATTAGAAAAGGTTTTATAAGGTAGCTAGCCTTGAACATGATAGATTTTTCATCACCCTCACGAGCCAGCTCCTCCACAGCAGGGCCCCCACTCTTGCTCATGTTGAGACCAAGCCATTTTGCTGTCTTGTCATATGCCTCGCCAATTGCATCATCTATTGTTGTCCCGAGTTGTATATAGTGGCCAAGATCACGGGCCAAGATAAGAAGATTATGGCCACCTAAGAAAACAGGATGAACATACTTCGTAAAGTTTTCAGGACGCTTGGCAAACTAATCTGAGTAAGAGATATTTTAATAAAGAAATTTCTGTGCAGAGATCGTCATACCTGAGACAAGTAAGGCCATGAAAGGGAACTGTAACTGTTTTTCGACTAACCTGTTGAAATACATTAGGACTTCAACAAGGCATAATGTCGGTAAAAAATAGGATCATAATATAAGTTTTTATCAAAATAATCCAATCACAACTCAAATTTAACTCAACTTCACTATCCTCAATATTATCTATATAATTAAATAATGTCAATCAATCATCCTTACACATCACATCAACTTTAATTCACTATTCATCACTCAAATAGTTCTAACTACCATCACTTCCAATTACCTCTCTTACATTCACTCAGACCCAAACCAACAACTTTTTTTCAAAATTAACCATGGTTAACCAAAAAACCAATCAAAACCAAAAAAACTTGTATCCAAGGCCAAGCAAACCTTCAGTCATATTTTGTTGGAAGAAGAAGATGATATGCTGAAGGTTGATCTTGAACGGAAAAAACAAAATAACCACTCCAAAGTTTCAAATAACTAAGTAGCATCTCATATTAACCAACAGACCCAGACAACGAACTCATTTTTCTATTCAATTTTTTTTTTTTTTTTTTTCTAAACGCCAAACGATTTTCAAAAAACTTCATCATTACCTTGCTACTAAAGCATGGGCTTCCATATGATGAACACCAACAATGGGTAAAGTATAAGCACCAGCAAGCTTCCGTGCTTTCCTCACACCAACTACAGAAAATGTAACAAATACAAGCTAAAGGATTTTTCTCCCAACACTGAGGTTAAACTGAAAGTCTGATATGACCCAAATAAGGTGCCCAACATTATGCAACAAAACCAGTGGTGCATAAAATCAATTGAAAAAATTCACGAATATGCCAAATGGTGTATGGAGAAGGTAATATCGATTTACCCAACCAACTTAATCCATGAACAAGATTACAAGAATAACGCTCATGGTAAGGGTTAAAGAACAAAATAAAAGATCAAAAATAAAGAAAAGAAAGAAGGAAACAAAATATAAACAAAAGGGTGAGCAACAAATTACCACGCAGACAGAGGCTCAATCCAGGACCAATGGTAACAGCCACTGCAGAAAGATCTTCTTCTGATGTATTAGCTTTATCGAGAGCCTCTTGCACTACCTTTAGACACAGAACATTCTAGGTATGAGGGGATAATAAGTCATAACAGAACTAAGATTGAAAATGTATCAACTATGTTGTCCCCATTTCCCCAACCTTTTGATATGATTAACAATGTTTAACAGTCATCTATAAGTGAATGAATTAATCAGAATTTTAGATGTCCACAGCAAAGAGATACAGACAGTTAACAAAATTACGAGTAGAAAGTTTAAAACAATGCTAAGCATTAACGAAAAAAATCCAACAAACAGCACAAATAGAAGAACAAATATTTGGTATGATGCAGCCGAGCATGTTTTAATGAATACAATACAATAAATTATGATAATATGCATTCACTTAATAAGAACAAGACGTATTACAAGCCGACAGGTTTTTACCTGATCAATCACTTGAATGTGTGCTTCTTCAGCCATTTTTGGAGCAACACCTCCGTATTGAACTAGCAGTTCTGCCTTGATGGAGTAAATTTATGTACAGAGATAATAAAATACAGATTTGCACGACATCTTCTCAAAGTGTGCCGTATAGATATTACTGATAAATCCTATATCTTCACACGACATGAAAATTGAACTAACAACCAAAGAAAGAACACAATTCCAAATTCGACTGCATTCAATCGTGTGCTATATAACTCCACATGCAAAAGCATAACTACACTAACACAACACTTCCAGTACAGCTAATCATCTAAGAGACACAAAATAAACAAATAATAAAAAGGAATACATTCACCATACCTGAGAAGACACAACTTGGCTAAGAATTTCACCATTACTTCTAACCTGTCACCGCATAAACATACAAAAATGAGTAACTTCATAAGAGCCCAAGACCCAAAACACCAGTTAATTTCACAAAACAAATGAAACATTACCACGCCCACCAAACCAATTACATGAGATTTAACACTCGGTCCACACACACGCACAAAGAACACTTACTACAGCTGCAGCAGTGTCGTCGCAGCTCGTCTCGATGCCCAGGACAACTAATTCTTCATCTTGTCCTGATGCACTCGCGATTTGAGCTTTTGGGCCGGTAGAAAATGAGGCTTTATGGTTTGAATCGCGGGAAACTGGATGTGTAAGTCTAGCCAGCTCACAGTATCGTTGAAAATTCATACGAGGGTTAATGAAGTAGTGAAGCGAGGGCCTGCGGAAAATGATTAGGCGGGAAACTGTGGAGGAAAGAGAAAGACTGGATATGAGAGACGCCATGGGAGGACAGAGCTCGAGACTCGAGCGTGCCACGGGGTTTGTGGAGATTTGAGAATATCTTATTTATAATTTTGTATTCTTTTAAATTATTTGAAATTAGAAAAAATAAAAATAACTAAGGCTTTGTTTGGTAGACTAAACTAGTTTATACTTTATTTGGTTATATTATAAGTTTGTTGTATTTAAATAAGCTTGGTTTGATAGAACGAGTTTTTTTAAAAAACTTGAAGTTATCTCATAAGTTTTTTGAGTAGCTTAGAAATTTTTATTCAACTAGTTTATTAGCTAATTTTATCAAATGCTTTTATCATATAAGCTAGATTTTCAACTATAAGTCATAAGTTATAAGTTATAAGCTCGAAAAATACTGATAAGTATAAGCTAGTTTATTAGCTAGTTTTACCAAACACAACTTAACTTATTAGATTCATAAATAACAAGTACAGTACCCGTGCGATGCACGGGGCTGTTAATTTTAGAGAATTTAGGAGGATAATATAATATAATATTTTGTAATCATTAGGATCGAAAGAATTATAATACGTAGAAACATTTGGAAAATAAAATAAAAGGATTGTTTCGTCACGAAAACAATCATATATTATTAAAAACATCTTTGTAAAATAAATAATAAAGTATTTATTTTTTGTGATATCAGATAATGTCATCCTTCGTGAAGTCACTTGGATATTATGGGCATTTTGACGTTTATTTTGTGAATCACGCATAACTGTAGAATGATGATACGTTCTCTTTTCTGAAAAAAAAAATAAAATAAAATAAAATTTATGTACATTTACCCATTAATTGAAACAAATAAATATATTCATGTAGAATTTAAATAATATGCAATTATGCATTGTGCATATGATTTAAAAGAATTAAAACTATTTATCTGTTAAACACATACAACATACATAATATTAATATTCATTTTATATTAATATATTTTATCTATTATGTATCATAAAATAATTATTGTTTCAAATTAAATAATTAAAACTATTTATCGGTTAAACACATACAATATACATAATATTTACATAATTTAAGTTTTTTACTTGTAATATTAATATTCATAATATTTAATAAGTTATATAATTGGGCTGACTTATGAAATAATGTTACATATCTATATGGGCCATAATTTAATTTGTTTTGATTTATTATATAGATTGAATTAAATAAATAATAGAAAAACAATTGAGATATTATTTAATATAGATTGAATGAAATCGTATGTATGGTGATATTTAATTTATGTAATATGTTCAAACTTTGTAATGTATTATTTTTATTTTTGTCATTGCACTAACTATGGGATAGAAACAGATAAATTTTTTTACAGATTTACATGATAATTGAATTCCATGCAAGATGGGATTCTTTCCTATTAATCTACCAATTTTTTTGATGTTTACAAAAAAAAATTATATATATATATATATATATATATATATATATATTTTTTTTTTATAGGGATTACATGCAAAATGAGACTCTTTCCAATTAATCAGCACTAAATATTTGTAGAGATTTTATGGGATGAATTTTGGTAGGCTGATTGTTTACGTTTACATATTGTATATTTTTTTATGTATGGATTTTTATTATTTGGATTCCATGCAAAATGGGACTCTTTCCAATTAATCCGCAACTCAATATTTGTAGGGATTTTTTATGGGATGAATTTTGTTAGACCAATTTTTTACAAGTCAATCACGATGGAATTATTTCACCATATTTAATCGGGGTCAAAATTTGGGTTCAAACTTTCGAATTTAATGGGATTATTTCACCACATTTAATGCATCAATTAAAAGCAGATAAGATTTTTACTATTAATAGAAAGAAATAAATACATTTTGAGTTTGACTAAGGGTTTGATTTGCCATTTTTAAGAAATGATAAATCTTTTTATATATATATAGACTTGATAAACATTATTAGACACATAAGCAGTGTTTTGTGACCCGGACCGGCCCGGCGGGTCGACCCGGGACCCGGTCGACCCGGAGCCGGAACCGGTCCGGGTGGGTTAATTAGACCGGGCAACAATGGACCCG